TAAAATTGTAGTATCATCTGATCACAGATCTCCCAGAGTTCAGGTTTATGGCAGATTTATGGAGGCATCCCTACTTAAATCTATTAGGGTTCTTGGCTGATGTTGCGTGAAGCCCCAGCTCCCTCGAGAGATATTCTGCAGAAACTCTCCTTTGGTCTTGAGACTGTATGGCCGACTCCATGACCTTGATTTTTTTTCCCCCTGTTTTGCCACTCTGTTATTATTGCAGCGTATTTTGAGTTATTTTTATGCTCAGACTCATCTATGACACATTTTTTTGTTTTCTTTCTCATCCTAGATTTGACAGTGAAGGAACCTTTTAATAAGGTGAGGTTACCCTCTACACTAGAAGGAAAATAGCCTGAGACCATAATATTCCCACCTCTGTGCTCGACAGTGAGAACCCCATTCTCTCTCAGTCACTACGTTTCCTCCAAACACAGAGGGTTGGGTTGATGTCAAAGCTTGGGTTTAGTCCTGTGTGTCTCCAGACCTTCCCCTGAATCATTTCAGTCGGTGACTGTCGTCCAACTGGCTTTGGCTCATTAACATGCTCCTCCTGTGTAACTCTTGGCTGATCTCTCGATTTCCTCGTGATCATTCTCACATGCAGAGACCTTGGGTGGAGCTCCAGAGGGCGACAGACGGTACTTTCATATTTCTTCCATTTCCGATTAATCAGTACAACAGTTGTCACCTTCTCACCAAGCTTTTAAATTGATGATCTTGGAGAACACTCCGGCTTCGTAGCGATCCATCTCGTCTCTGACGTCCTTTGACAGCTCCTTGCTCGACCATTACGGCGGCGAGGTTACAGTTCAAGAAAAATGATTCTGTGGATCGGTGAGCTTAAAACATTCTTAAACTTTCAGACAGCCGTATCTATTAATAATGTCAAATTGATCGACACGTACGCAACGTATCATTGGGCGGAGCCAGAATACTAGTTGTGTTCCAGGGGATGAAATACCAATTTTACTATGTGGCATGCAATTGATTTGTTCCATGGACAGTGGTTGGATTTAAGAAAAATATATGGTTTTACATAAACCAAAGCCTGTCATGGCTATAATAAATTATTTAAAGATGCTGTGTCAGACACACTAGAGGACTGGCTGGCTGTATGTCAGTATTTTCTTAACTTATTTTCATAAACACGCTTCAAATTCAGAGAAACAAGTTTTGGCCGTGCCACTTGGTGTACTTTTAAAAAACTGTTTAGGTGTCACACATCTCAACGTTTTTTTTTTCTCCTCTCAGATTCAAACCATGTCACCCCACTGATAACTGCTGTGTTTTCAGAGGAAAGGGCAAGAAAGAAACATCAGTGGTGGGCATGCATAAATAGGCCTTAAGTAAAAGTTTAGCTGAGAGATGCAACTAGGACATTTTATTTATTTATTTATTTTTTTGATGTTCCTAATCAGTGTGTCCTTTCTGCCATATTCCCCAAATGGTTTTTTTTTTTTTTTGTCTTTTTCCGAGGAAGGTGACACCATTTCTCATTTTCACCGTGATTTTCTGGTGTTGACATGAAGGATTTTATGAAAAATTACCACAGTCCCAAATTTTACAGCGCCTAAAACACATTTCAGCTCTGGCAGACATTGAGCCCAATGCGCGTCTATGTATATCAGTGTGCATGTTTGGACATCTAAAAGTCATGGTGATAAACATGTCTATGCCGGTTGTGTGTGCGTAACCTTGCAAATGGCATCCTTTCACCCGATAGGACAGTTTGCCAGTTAACCTCGCCATGATGGGGGAATCCATCATTATCTCAACAACACCGAAGAGGACGCCTGCAAACTCACCAACTCTGTTGACCTTGCACAGACCAAAGTCGCACACAGATCCATTTATAGAGATGATATCAAAACATGTCCTACTTGGGAATTGCCTTGAGCTGCCTTTCTATGCTAAATTTATGATGATGTGCTTGTTTTATTTATTCATCTTTTTTTTTTTTACAAGTCTCTTGCTACAGCAAATAATTGCTTTTACAGATGTTGATGACTTTCAGTCTTTATTTTCTAAACTCAAAGTCAAAGTAAATTAAGAACATGTGTTTTTATGTATTTTTCAAGGCCGCCGTGTTCAGCTGGACTGAAGGTTGGACGACGAGGCAGTGAGGTGGAATAAAACCACCCGATTCATTTTTGTTTCTACACTTCAGTGGGTTCTGGACTGAACCAGTCTGAGCCGGAGTCTCCCGTTTGTCCTTACTTCCAGCTGTAGGGTTTCATCTTATGAGTGTATTTTCATTTTACAGTGAGTGGATTCATTTGAGATTCCCCGGGCCTGATGTGTAATTGCTTATTGAATAAGCTCCATGCTCCACTATATTGTCAGAGTAATGGCTGCAGATGTAACACCACCAGGAAAGCCTCGTATTGATCAGACACTGTCAGTTTGGTTTCCTCTATGAATGTGGATGTGTGTGTGGATAGCTGCACATTGTCTGGAATTTAGGTTGCCTAAATTGCTGAGAGAGTTTATTAGGCGCACAGGTTTTCTTTACCCTGATAGGTTCCCAAAAGTTTAAATCAAATAAATCAATATCAATTACTTGTGTATTGCCAGGTTTACTTGAATTTGGCAGGCACTGATCGGGAATTTATACATCACTGAAAGTAAATAAGAGCGTCACTGAAAACCCATTATGGCACAAACTGTAGGAAGTGATGTCTTGCGCCACTGCAGGCCGTCTATTTACGGATTTGCCAAGACCTGACACCAGGAAAAACAAAAAAAAAATAAAAGAACTGAGTGAAAATAGTTTGATGAAATGTTCTCAGAAAACAGGATTACTTGTGTTTCTTGGCATTTCCATGAGCATAAGGCCTTTCCTGTCTACCAAGGATAATAGGTCATAGGTTAAAGGTTTTTGTTCTTTTTGGGGTTTTTTTTTTATCCTACTCTAAATTCTAGTAGAATTTCTTCACTTTTAACTTTTCAATTCTCATTTTAAATACATTTAATGTCAAATTGCTGTTTTAGTTGTTTTAAATCACAATGGGCATTTACACCGTGCTCCAAATTATTATGCAAGTGATATTTTATCAGTTTTTCTTCAATGGTCAATGCAAATGTTGGTCAATATAATTTTCAAGTCATGAACATACAATGCCATCTATAAATTTAATAGCACAACAAAAAAATGTATTTTTATGACACTTGAATCCAATTTACATAATAATTTGGAACGCGATGTATAATAAATTTTATATGGACAGTTGCATATATTTATGGTTTATTTATTTTGTTTGCTGTTGTAGAGCTAAACTAAGGACTTATATCTACATTAATATTGGGTTAAAACTAAATGCAGGATGGCTTGATTTACCTGGATTTAATGTCTCCTTCTCTTTAGCTTAGCCTCTTCATGAAGGCTGAAACTAGAAGCCTAAATGTAATAGTTTATGGATTATTGCCATTCTGGCAGACGCCCAGAATGAACATTTGGTCAAAATTAAATAATAATTGCGTCCCTATTTAGCATGACACCAATCATGATCCCTCCAAAAGGAATGTTATGCCAAATTCTTTCAATTTTCAGGTGATTGATTGAACAGTGCTATGTGTACGGCTTATCATTTGGAATAGTTTTGTAACCTAGCCTCGTTTCAAAGTACCCAATTTAGTCTGTGACATGTTTACTGTGCTGCTTGCTATTCATAATATATATGTAATGTTTTGTCAAACCTTTGACGCCATTGAACAACAGCTGGATTTCTACTGGTGTTAATTAGTGGTATTAGATTACAGGGTGGTAATTATAAAACTGTGCCACATCTTGTAGATTTTACTTTATTTTTTGACAAAAATTAAACGTATTAAGCCTCTGTATTCATCCCCTTATACTATTTAAGGTGAAAGTTTGTCTTTGTAAAATAATATGAAGAACTTATATATATATATATATATATATATATATATATATATATATATATATATATATATATATATATATATATATATATATATATATATATATATATAAAACAGGGTTTTTTACTGAATCTAATAAAACCCTGATAATTTTCTGGCATGTTGCACAACTGAAGGTCTCATCAATATTTGTGATTATAGAAAAAAGACGGGAACAAAGAAAAAATCACTAATTTGAATGCAGACTCCATTTGAAGGTAAATGCATTCATTATCAACTCCTTCACTTTCATTATATATTAATTCAAAAGACATGGCCGAGGCGTCTTGCATCAGAAATGTTCAGAATCACATTTTCATGTTCATTTTTTCCCATCGGCCATTAGGCTGACTTGGCATTAGTGCAGCCATTCCACATCCACTCTCACTACGCCTCCACCTCTGTGACTTTGAGAAGTGCAGATCGGATATGGTACACTGGCTGCCACCGTGTAAACGCCCCAACTTTCATGATGCCCTACATGACTGTTTTAAAGGAATTTCATCTTACCGTGTAAGCCTGATCCAGCAATCTCTTGAGCATTCACTTGTGTTGAATCTCTAAAATGCCGCAGAACTGGTCACGAAGCGGCACAAAGCCGCTTTTATCCCACTGAGCAAACCAATATATTTCAAATGCTGCTGTAAAGCACATAACCTACATCTGTGCTTCGATAACTTTAGAGTTCAATGACTGAAAGCAAGTTGTGTTGTCCGCTTCCTTTACTAGTTTAATGGGATTTTTTCCATCAGTGTGGTGATGAAACTTTAGTATATCGAAACCACAACATGACGAACTCCAAATTGATGTGAAGAAATAAGTTCATTAGAGTTGTCGATGCACTTTCAAGCTAAAGTGCATTGACACTTCAGTTTTTTTGTTTAAGCATTTTTATTCAAATGCTCCTCCTCTGCTACTATTTCTGCACGTAACTTTGAAGTCTAAACATAGTTTGGTAAAGAAAACCAAGATTTATTTTTTTCTTATTACCATGTAGAAATGCAAAACGTGAACATATGTAACAATTGCTTTTTATCTTAACCTTGCCAATCTCTTTCTGTCTTTTTCAGGATGGCATGGGGAACCTGCGAGTTACCAAAGAAGGGATCCGACTGGAGGGGGTGTCCGAATTTTTGCTGCCCTTATATGTCAAAGAGATCCAGTCTCGAAGGGTGAGCATGCATGTCAGTGTGCCTCTGCTTTGCAGTCTGAAACACTGCCTATCTAATATGTTTCTTAGTGTGGATGTTTTCCAGTCAGATGCATCGGTTATTGTCTGAATGTGTGTCCTTGGTCTGATCTTGAAGGAGTGTGTCCTCATGTTAATGCTCTCTTTTCTTAAAGCTGCTTTAATAAGCGTAACGTTGGTGTTTGTTACAATACCTTTCATTACTATGCATTGTTGTAACACTACCTTGGATCTATTCTGTATCTCCATTCATCACACTGAGAATTGTCATTGTTCTAGGAAGCAAAGACAACATCCATTTATTATTTCAGATAACTTCTGCAACAGTGTGAAACGACATGTTCACAAGTTGTTTGCTGTATGATTGTATTTCTGTGTTTTCATGCCATGTTTATGAGCTAGGAAGTAACTTCACTGGTCCAATTAATCCATCCAATAATTCACTACGTTTGCCAAATATTAGTTTTGAATGAATCACTTGTTGACTGTAAATTGGAGCAGAAAATTAGTGGCAAGATGAAGAATGAAAGAAATCATTCAACTCACAGACTAGATCTATCTTTGAAATTCATCATTTACAATTTAAAAAACCTTGCAATAGAAATAAAAAAAAAAGTCAAATCAGAAATTGCTTTCATGAACCAATCAGGCATAACTTTATGATCTCTTAACGTTGTGTCTGCCCCCTCTCTTGTTGTCAAAGCAGTCTTAACCCACCCAAAGATAAGACTCCACTGCACCCGTAAATGTTTGCTGTAGCAGCAAGTAGAAGAAAATCTGTGAAGTCCTGTAAGTTGGGAGATGGGACCTTCATGAATCAGACTCATATGAAAGATGTAGGACTGGATTGAGAACCAGGGAGAATCAACATCTTGAATGTGTTGTGCTTCTTAAACCACTTTTGGACCATTTTTGCTTGGTGGTGCATTTATCCTGCTGAAAGAGGCCAAAGCCATGGAAGGTGTACAAGGGTTGCAACAATAGTTAGGTAAGCTGTGCATGTCAAAGTAAAGTGCACCAACTGTTGGCCAATCATTTTCCAGCGGACGATTAGCTAAAACATCACACTGCCTTTGACGTCTTGCTGGGTTTTTTTACACGCCGCCTTCTTCCATTGCTCAGTGTTCTGGTCCAGTTGGTCACGTCCTCATTATTGGCTCTATTGTTGATGTCTGGTCTACAATTATGCAACCCCTGAGGCAACAGACTGCCATGCCCCAGGTAATCTGATACCCGTTACATCAAGAACAGCAATAATCAGTTTGAGCTAAAGCAGCTCCTCTGCTGAATCAGACCAAACGGGTCAGTCTTTACTCCCCACATGCATCACTGAGCCTTCACCACCCAGGCGTCTTTCTTCAGACCGTTTGTTATGGATACTGATCACCAAAGGCTCAAACATCCCACAAGAGCTTCAGTTATGGAGATGTTCTGACCCAGCAAACCCAGTCTCTTCCTGATCAGACTTTACTCCTTGCTCTCCCTCGTTTTATCTGCTTGTAACACGTCAACATTGAAGAGAAAACGCTCACTTGCAGCTCAACTCTGCTCACTTTCTGACATGTGTCATGACAAAGGTGTTATTCATTTTACCAGTCATAATTGTATTCCTGCATTTTTCTCCGTTTCCCAATTTACAGTAAAGATTTTCTGGTGTCATCTGCTCTATCTGTAAGCAGACAGTAGCTGATAGACCAATTTACAACACAGCCCTCCTGCTCTGTTTTGATTTAAACATAACACTATAACACACTTTAGAAATGTCTTGCAGAAAAGTGCCACAAACTATAGCTTCCAGGTCTGCTGTTTAAAGATTTGAGAATAACTTGCACACAATTGATGAAAAATAATCTTGGACAGAAAGGGTGTAAAGAGAAATGTGCTTCAAACTGAATGGGTCTTAGTGGAGTTTTCAGATGAGGATGAAATGAAGAGTGAAGAGGCAGAAGGAGGCAGGGAACGCCTCAAGTCTGTGGTTGTTTCAGAGATGTCTTGTTAAAACACTGCATATTAGTCTGTGTTTTGGCAAAACACGGTTGTGAGTGAGGTAGCAATGAACAACCGCAGATCCTTTAGTTATCTGAAAAGAACACTCCATGGAGAAAAGTTAAAATGATTTGCAACTGGATTCACAGCTTTGCTGTTGTAATTAAATTGCAGATATCTTAAAAAAATATCTATCAAACACATGAACACAGGAGAAATGTTATACAAGCAGAGACTGGTGACCTGTATAAGGTGTACCCCACTTCGCTTTTCCCTTTTTTTTTTTGTTCTGGATCCTGTGATTTTAACCAAGATTAAGGATTTAAAACCATGGCTTTCTGCTTATAAAGCATAGCATAAATCTGATCTTTATTGCCTTACGAGGCAACAACAAAAAAAGCAATTTACTTGTGGATGTGCCCACTGAACATCCTCTGCTCTAACAGTAATTGTTAGATTTTTGCACAGATTTCTAAGACTTTTTAAAGCAAATTCTTCCAAATCCCACTAGCCTTGCCACCCCTTTGAAAACTTTATGCAGCTCACAGAATTCAAACGTTACCCTAAGTGTGACATTTCTATTTTTATTTATAATGATGATGAAGCATATGCCAATGTTAGCCTGATTTATTATTCGAAAGAAAAAAATAGGAGCCACTTTTTGTGAAAAAGGATTTTGGTATGTGGGAGCTGCTTTCAAAAATTGTCATCATAAAACAACAGCAGCACTCACCAAAATGAAAAGGTTTCTAATTTTTGAGAAAATAAGTTGGTGTAGAAGGTGGGTGAAAGTGCGATGAGACATCTTAGGTACGTCTCACTCACACATATTAGATGCAGATGTAGATTTTATGTAATCGACGCCATCCTGAAGGAAAGCGTAGTGGGAGGAAATTGAACATTGTGACTCCCATTGAGAGACAAATTCAGAACACAGAGTTAAAAAAACACAGAGACACGCACACACACACACACACGCAGACACACCAATAATAACAGTGACACAGTGAGAAATGAGATTGGCTGGGCGGGTTGAATGAGCTGAGGTGTAAGAAAGAAAGAGATATTTGTCGGTAAAATAGTAGAGGGAAACGGGTCAAAAGAAAGTAAAAGTGTTAAGAAAACATAAAAGTGGAAGGGGGGTTTTCTGTTTCAGAATATATTTTTAAAATGAGGGCAATTATTCCAAAATTTCCTTCAAAAGTTGTTTATTTCACACTGTGTTGTGTTTTACCAATTGTTACCTACATGCACCACAAAGGTAAGATGTTTGACCGTAATACATCTTTCTATTTTGGTGAAAACCAAACACAGTATGTCACCACAAACACCTCATTTAAAGCCTGTGGCCCTGAATATCTGTCACATTGTTTAAGAAAAAATATATAATTATACACACGGGATCAATGTGTGAAGTTTTCATTCATATAAATTCACACAAATCCACCCATGAGATTTTGTTTTAAACATGCCACACCAACAGGAGGCAGTAACCTGTGTGAGCCAGTCAGATTACTTCATAAACAGCCATTACTTCCTGTTTGGAGTTTAAAATGGGACCTTATTTGGACAACATTTTGTCGCAGACTGTAAAACTTCCGACCTTAAACTTCCAATTTTCCACATAAACAGAGGTTTTTTTTAAATCTTAGCTTTGGTTGAGGTTTTCGTTAGTAATAATTTTTTAATTATATTAAATGGAGTTTAGTTTTAGTAGCTGCAGTTTCAGTTTACCAATATACGTGGTCATGTGTGTAAAGCGTCGCCTCAACCATGTAATTTAGCTCAATGGCAAAAGGTGGAACCATCTTTCTAACAGGAAGAACTTGACTGTAACCATGTAATGCAAGGGATCATCAGTGCAGGAAGAAATATCCACTTAAAAATGTGAAGGACTGAAAAAGACAAAACAGCAACAAATGAAAAAGAAAAAAAAACTTTACAAATGATGTTTGCAATGATTCATAATTTGTTTTTTGTTTTTTTTTATTTATGCCTGTTTGGTGGTGGATTATATTGCTGCTTTAAATCCCTTGCAGGGAAATATAATAAATTTTACAACCTAAAAAAAGAAACACTAGATAATTATTATCCTGATGCAAAAACCTGGATTTGAGTGAAAGTGCTGTTTGTTTTTAGCATCACAGTTGACACTCTGTCAGCAGTAACATGAGGCAGAATCCTCAGAGATTTTTTTTATTGTTTGAAAAAAGCTAATATAATCTACCTGCTTACGTGTGAAGTGTGTCTGGAAACTGTCCGTTTTTTAGAAATCCTGGTAAAAAAAACTTCCCGCAGAATGTGTTTTCTGAATAGATAAGTGTCGAGTGAAGGACACATCAGCCTGATTTATTTAATTTGCCATAGAAAAATAGCTTTGCTTTGACATAAATAGATGATGTTTTGTTTTTAAATATTCTTTTATTGATTTCTTTTTTTTTTTGTTTGTTTGTTTTTTTTTAGAAATGTATTGATATGGTACAAAACCTTGTGCAGTCATCAAAATGCACACATAAAACTGAACCGAGGTAAAACAGATAACATTTGCACACAGCAGAAATAAGACACAACAAGTGAATAATGCCATTTAAGATAAGTCTATGACGACAAAATGTGTCACCCACAAAATGAAAGAAAATTTGTCTTTTTGAGAATAGTTGTAGTCACATTATCGTGGTTTACTTTGAAGAAAGATAATTCTTTTAAAAGCAAGCCAACTATCAGGAAAACACCAACTTGAAATGAGCAAGATAACAGTACAGACAGATGGTTGCTAATAATGTTGGGTAATTTTAGGAGGAGGATAATTCCCTTCACCCCCCTGTTGGCATTTATTTAGATCTTAAATAAGTGTTTTATTCAGCATTTTTATTATTATGCCTTCTTCATTTTGAAAGCACATGTTAAGATCTGTGCGGAATAATGTTTGAAGGTTGGCTGAGATGCAAGTCAGACTATTTCATTTCATTTTTTTTTCTTAGCTCCTCTATGTCTTAT